AGGTATGTTTTTAGTCCATTTGGCCTATACTGTCCATTAATTCTGAGGTTTCTTTTTGATTTTTTGGGGGGTCTGGATGTTCTGTGTATTGGTGACAGTAGGGTATTGAAGTTTCCCACTATTATTGTGTTGTGTTGGGGTCCATCTGTTCTTTTAAGTCTAGCAGTGTTTGTTTAATGAAGTTTGGTGCCTTTCATTAGATGCTTATAAGTTAACAGTTGTTATTTCCTCTTGACTAATTGTTCCCTTTATTAATATGAAGTGACCTTTGTGTCTCTTCTGACTAATTTTGTTTTGAAGTTACTTTATTGCATATGAGTATAGCTACTGTTAGGGAGATGAAAAAGAAGCCATGTTAGAATTGGAACCCCCACCCTTGCAGACAGCTTACATCCCACCCACTGGAAGGAGCACATCTAGCCTCAAGGAAACAACAAGCTACCACCTTGCCAGGGTGTCTAGAGCTGAGCAACTTATCTACCTAATTACTACTTATCTCCTTACCTACCTAGTTACCACTTATCTCCTCTAGCTTCCCCTAGTGATGGTTGACTCTACTCCAGAAGAATTTTCTCCCCCCATGGAGTTTCCCCTCCAAGTCTGTAAGTAGCTGTGGGCTCCAGCTCTCTTGCTGGGGACCCCCTCCACAGGGGTCCTTCCCAAACAATAAACACTGTGCTGGTGTCTGAGTCACCTCTCTGCCTCTTCCATGACTCTCATTTGAACAGCTATTCCTGTCTACTTTGGGATTCATTTGTAAAGAAGAACTTTTCCACCCTTTTGCCCTAATCCAATGTTTATTTCTTTCAGTGAGATGTGTTTCTTGGAGACAACAAATGGTAGAGTATTGCTTTTTGTTCCAACCCATTATTCTGTCTTTTGATTCATAATTGAGTCCATTAGGATTCAATGTTAACTTCAGCCTAGACCTTCTTCCCTATGCAATAATATGTTATAGGTGAAAATCTGTCCCACTACTTAGCTAATGGCTGATTTTGTTTATCTTTGTCCTTAGCAATGGTAGAATTATTTTTCTGGCTTTCATGCACTAATAGCTTCAGACTGGTGATAATGAAGGTGTACCAAAATTTATCTCCTGGTTCATATGCCATTGAGTAACAAATTAAATATTTGTGTTGAAAGATATTATAATTCTCTTACCAATCTTTAGTAAATCCAAATAAGCCCCTATGGTTGGTACTTTTTACCAACATATTTGTCTTAGGGAGGAGAGTCACTCTGTTTTAAAATCTTTGTTTAGAAATCATGTTTGCTTGATTTACATGTTTCTAGGCAAATATAGGTATCAGCTTAAAGCACTGCTTCTTTGTTTTCTGTGTCTGTACTTATCAAGTTACTTAACATCTTAAATGTAGAAGTAGAACAGATAGTAGGAAGGTTATTGTTCTGATTGTCATCTTTACTTACTATTCTGTTTTATTTCCTGATTTGGCCTTCTCTCTCTCTCTCTCTCTCTCTCTCTCTCTCTGTGTATGTCTGGGGTTTGAACTCAAGGGTTCACGCTTGTGAAGCAGGCACTCTACAACTTGAGCCACACTTCTAGTCCCTGAGTCTAGTCTTTCATATTTTAAAATTAATTTTCAGTTTCTCGTTGCCTCTTTTGTTATCCTGCCACATTTTCCACTGCAAGACACCATTAAATAGTCCTTACACCCAACTCTAGGTTCCTCATTGTGTAGTCATCTTCACCTTCCTTTAGCCGATGTCATGTATTATTTTTTTCAGTTAAACATGCTTGTATCATAACAGGTTATTCCAGGGTGGTCACTTGAGTTTTGCTCAGAATTTCTTTTAGTGGAATTTGAAATCTTGAATGAATATTGTGGATGTGAGAGTCAGATGCTGAGGCACAGTTTTGGAGAGCTTCAGAGAGAAGAGAGTCACAGTTTGCTTAAGATGAGATGTTTTGAGTTGCTCTGGTGTTCAAGTGTCCCTAGTCCTGGTTCCTTTCCCTTGCATTACAGTCCATTGTTAGCAGTGTAAGCAATAACAACAAAAAAGTTACTTATGTTATATAGTATAACAGTAGCTCTCAAATCACAATGATAATTCTAGCAGTTGTGTCTTTGGAAATCAAAATCCTTTGTTACTTTAGAAAACTTGCTGTTTCTTTTATTCAGTTTTGCTTGTTTTTGCTTTATGCTATGTTTTTCTTTTCTTCTTATTGACATTGAAATCTCCTTGCTTTTTTGTAATTCATGGTTTCTACTGCCATGCCCTCTATTTTTCTCTGGTTTCTTTTTCTTTTCTGTGTTTCTTTTTTGTAAGTATGTTGTTTCATGTTTTTCACATTCAAACTTCTAAGAAAAATGGTACATTATTTTGGGTTCCTTTATCACTATCCTCTACAAAACACTATTTAGGGTGACAGTCTCTTTCTATTCTTACTATGCCATTGCTCTGCTAAAAGAGTTTAATTGCAGATTCATGTTCCAAATAGTCATGCCTAGAAATGTAACCAGACTAAGTTTTGTACTACTTGTCTCTCGAAGTACAGTTTTCAGGATCTTAGATCTGGTGGAAGAACTGTCCAAATCAAATCTTGATATTTTGGAATTCAGTTGTATAAAGGGCTTTTATGGAGGGGGGTGAGAAGTTAGAAGGAGACAATGGGCAGAAAGGCTATCTGATGAGAGAATATTTGTGACTTGATGCAGAATGTAGCTCCATTTCTGTTTAGTTCAACAGTTATTCAACAAAAACATAAAGGGCACACAGAAAGAATGGTGAACCTCATAGAATGAGATCACAGTAGTCATGTTGAATCTGAGGCTGGAGCATGCATATTGAGGAAAAGTAAATTTCATAATGCTAATGGAAGCATAGAAGGTTATTCTAGAAAGAGATAGTTGCTGAAACAGAGGTGAGAAAAGAGAAATTTAAGTGTGATCACAAATTTTTCTTGCTTAAAAGACTCCAGGAAACAAAACAGAAGGAATCAGACTGTAGAATAGAGCTTTAATGCAGGTGAAAAGATAATGAAACTAAAGGTTGATGTCTAAATAAAATTTTGGCACCTGATTATCGGGACCAGACATCACACTTTATTCCAATTCTAAATAAGATCATTTTGATGGTACATATGACAAAATGGAGAGTGAGGAAATTAACCAGAACTCTATATTAGAATTATTGTTGTAAAATGACCAGCCTAAGCCCACAGAATAGGAGAAAATCACGGTTAGCTGTAGATATGATTAGGATTAATAACCAAAATATACAGGTAACTAAAAAACCAAACTTCCCAAAAAACAATGACCCAATGAAGAAATGGGCAAATGAATTGAACAGAAATTTTTTTTTGTGGTACTGGGTTTTGAACTCAGGGCCTCATGCTTGCCAGGCAGGTGCTCTACCACTTAAGCTACTCCATCAGTCCTTGAACAGAACTTTTTCAGATGGCCAAAACACACTTGAAGAAATGCTCAACATCCCTCTATATAAAGGAAATGCAAACCAAAACCACATTAAGATTCCACCTCAAATGCCAAAATGTACCCCCACCCAGCACAATAAAAAATAAAAAATTAAAAAAAACCAAAATTTCACTTCACTCCTGTTAGAATGGCTATCGTCAAGAACACAAACAACAACAATTGTTGACAAGGGTGTAAGGGGAAAGGAAACCTTATACACTGTTTGAGGGAATGTCAATTATTACAACTACTAAGGAAGGTTGTATGAAGGTTCAGCAAATATAAAACTAGAACTGCCATATTATCCAGCAATACCACTCCTAAAGATATACCTGAAGGAATGTAAGTCAGGTTACAAAAAACACATCTGCATACTCATGTTTATAGCAGCATTATTCACAATACATTAGCAATGGACAGACAAGATTCCCTACAACTGATGAATGGATTAAGAAAATATGATATTTATATACAATGGAAATTATGTTCAGCCATAAAGAAAAGTGAAATTTTGTTGTTTGCAGGTAAATGGATGGAACTGGAGAACATCATCTCAAGTGAAGTTAGCCAGGTTCAGAAAGCCAAAGGCCACATGTTTTATTTCTAGTACATACAATATAGTCCCAATACAAATCCAAGCAATATTGTGAAAAATAGGTCACACTAATGGGAGGTCACTAATGCGAAAGGGTGGTAAAAGAAGGAAGTTAAGAAGGTAAATATGGTTGATGTACTTTCTATACAAGAATGAATATAGAATTTTTATACCTGTTGAAATCACCATAAGAAGTGGACTAAGATAGAAAGGAAGAAGGTAGAGGGGATGAACCAATTCAAATTATAATGCATATATGCCTAGAAATGTCACAATGAAACTCCCCGTATAGCTTTCTTAAACAAACAAAAATGTCTCTTTTCAAAAATGAAGAATATCAAGGTAAAACAGGTCCTCTCTAGTGGTTAGAACCAGTGGTGGGGCAGGGGAGGGACATAAGGAAGGGGTGCAGGAAGGGGAATAAGATTGAAATATTGTGAACTTATGGATGACAATGGATAAATGAGACCTGGTGAAACTCTTCCTGTTGTGGGGGCATGGGGCATAAAAGAGAATGATGGATTAGGTGAATTCAACTACGACATATTAGAAGAATTATTGTAATGTGTCTCAGTGTAACCTCAATACAACCATGATATCATAATAAAAAAATAACCAGCTGAATGATAAATTTGCATCGTGTAAAGTAAATCTGGTATAATTAACAAGGATAAATCATCATGTGTAATATTCAACTTAGGAACAATGCCAAAGAAAAAAATTGAACAACCCCCCGCTCAGCATCTATAACACTGCTTAAGCCTTTATGTAAGGTATACCTGTAAAGACATGAAAGAACCACAAGCAAGCAAATGAACTGGTTTCAGCTTCATTTTGAATTTATTGGTAGCTGTAATCTTGGCTCCACCTATCTTGTGGACAAAATGACCTCTGGAACTTTGTCCTCTCAGCCCTGGTCAGGCAAAGGAATGAACGGTCAAGTCAGATTAATTGGGTTGTAGATAATGATGGATCTTAAGCATAGTCATTTGGTGAAGCTGAATGATGGACACTTCATGCCAGTGCTTGGATTTGGCACTTATGCTTCTGAAGATGTAAGTGAACAGTAAGGGGATTGAAGGGTTGTGCACCAATTGCCCTGGGAGTGCTGCCATAGGCAGGAGCCCTAAACCTTCTAGACAATGAGTGGCTTAGAAGGACTCATCTTGCCTTCTCTTTTGCTGTCTCTAAATTTTATTTATTTACTCATTTTTTTTTGGTTGTATTGGGGTTTGAATACAGGATCTTGTGATTGCTAGGCAAATGTTCCACTACTTGAGTCACATCTGTGGTCCCTTTTGCTTTAGTTATTTTTCAGATAGGGTCTCACACTTTTTTTTTAAGAGTTAAAGTAAGCACAAAGTTTATTGAAAGGCTAGCAAAAGTAAGGGAGAGTAATGGAATGGTTTGAATGGACAAAGGTAATATGTGGACACAAATTGAGAAACCCTTTTTTTTATTGTTTTATTATTCATATGTGCATACAATGCTTGGGTTATTTCTCCCCCCTGCTCCCACCCCCTCCCTTACCACCCACTCTGCCCCCTCCCTCTCACCCCCACCCCCTCAATACCTGGCAGAAACTATTTTGCCATTATCTCTAATTTTGTTGTAGAGAGAGTATAAGCAATAATAGGAAGGAACAAGGGTTTTTGCTGGTTGAGATAAGGATAGCTATACAGCGCATTGACTCACATTGATTTCCTGTACGTGGGTGTTACCTTCTAGGTTAATTCTTTTTGGTCTAACCTTTTCTCTAGTTCCTGGTCCCCTTTTCCTATTGGCCTCAGTTGCTTTTTAGGTATCTGCTTTAGTTTCTCTGCATTAAGGGCAACAAATGCTAGCTAATTTTTTAAGTGACTTACCTATCCTCACCCCTCCCTTGTGTGCTCTCGCTTTTATCATGTGCTCAAAGTCCAATCCACTTGTTGTGTTTGCCGTGGATCTAATGTCCGCATACTAGGGAGAACATATGATTTTTGGTCTTTTGGGCCAGGCTAAACTCACTCGGAATGATGTTCTTCAATTCCATCCATTTACCAGCGAATGATAACATTTCATTCTTCTTCATGGCTGCATAGAATTCCATTGTGTATAAGTACCACATTTTCTTAATCCATTTGTCATTAGTGGGACATCTTGGCTGTTTCCATAACTTGGCTATTGTGAATATTGCTGCAATAAACATGGGTGTGCAGGTGCCTCTGGAGTAACCTGTGTCACAGTCACTTTTTGCCTGAGGCTGAGATCCTCCCATGAAGCAGGGATTATAAGGATTATAGAATTATATGATTATAGGCCATGCCTGGCCCTTCTCTGTAATTTGATCATTTTTTACAATAAGTAGTTTGTCAGATGCTGACTCTGGAGTCTAAGAGGTTGATAGTTTTGTAAGTGGATTGTCTTCATTATTGTTATTATTATTACCATTATATCAATGCTTACTGTGTGTTTTAAGTACTTTCCATAGATGATATGTGTAGATTCCTTAATAGCCCTCCCAGGTAAGTTCTATTATTATTATTGCAATGTTTTGCATTTTTAAAGCCCAAAGCTCAGGCTATTCCTTTGAACTTCTCTGCTACATTGGTTAGTACCTCCTGTGCTAGTTTTCCTTAGAAAGTCATGATGGGCAAAGTTTATAGGAGGAAATGACTATGAAGACTACTTTGGAACAGCTTTGCTGTGAGTTTCTTGGGTCTAGAAGTATTTCCCAGAGAATATTAACTATCCAAATCTTTTGACATATAAGCAGCCACAATTATTCTAATATTGTTAGGTAATTATCAAGGAAGATTCAGGAAGCATAAAATCACAATAGGGATGAGACTGTGTTTCCTACAAAATATATTATTTACCCATCCATAGAGCTCATTGAAATGAGCTTAAAGTATCAAATACTGTTCATAGTGAGGCAAGGACAGTTTTAGGGACAGTTTGGGAAGGATTGCCTCACAATGGCAGAGATCAGTATGCTCAATGCCAGCTTGTTTTCAATGGCATAATTGCCCCTTTTATCCATTGTAGTAGCTTAGGCATAAGGTGTGTCTTGTGTAGCTTATATCCAACTCTTATTACTGCTGTTAAAGATAGGAAAGTATATTGGAGAATAGAATGAAAATATCCCATAATTCCTTCAGAATATAAAAGCTTTATGTGCCTATGCTTAAAACACAGAAAATACAAAGGGTATGAACTGAAATTGAATCCTCTTTAACACTCCAAAGTGAGTTCTTTTTCTAAATATGATTCCCTCTCCCCTTCAATTATTACTGTGGGTAATTGCCAGAAAGACAAGCATGCTGATGTGTGTGCATTGTGGCTTCCTTTGTCCAGTCGTGTGTGTTTTCTGGGAATTGGGCAAACACAGCATGTCAGCATAAATAACTAAATCACTCTCCACTTGGAATTTGAGGCAGGTTATGTAAATGTTATTGCCTGGACTTTGCCTTCCAGTGGTGGCAACGTGGTAAGGTCATGTCCTTGTTTGGGAAAAGTCACTGCTCAGATAGTGGCAGTTAGCTCTCTAGGCTTCTGCATCCCTCTGCTTTTACCGTGTTTTTTCCTGAGTATGGCTCTGATATTCTGCTCCTTGAGTACCCTCACAGGAATGCTGATGCTGACCAAGGGACACCCTCATGTCAACTCCTTAAATAAACCAATGCAATAATTTTAGTCAATATAGACTAATATTGGCATAAATAAAATTTGATGTGGTAGGCAGAAAGGAATTGTATACCTTTTTATCCTTGTAAGTATGTCCATCAAAGTAATTTAGATAAATAGGTAATTATTAATTGATAACTATACAATTCAATAGTCATGATTAAACCCCTACTTATTGTAGTAATGGTGGGAGTTTGCCGAACTTGTAATTCCATATTTGTAGGACTCTGATTGGGACATTTGATGCACATAGAAATAACTATATAAAATAGTCAATATCATATCACTAAATGCCAGGGGAAGTTGACAGATTCAGAAAGAGGGAGGCTGGTGTGAGCTGGATTGTGCTGAGAAGGCTTCAACCAGGAGGTAATCTGAGCTTAAGCAAGGCTTCATCTTAAACAGGCATTCCCATGAGCAGTGAGTGAGGAAACCATAGCAGAAGGAGCCCGCCAAGGACAAAAAGACTGAAAATGTCCTGACTGCACAAAGTGTGGACTTCAGGAGACCAGTGCTAGTGTTTTCCTGTAGGAAAGGGGAACTAATGTATAAGCTCTTTTTTTTTAAAGGAATGAGATTTAAATATCATTTATGGTATTACTACTAATATCCAGATATTTTAGATGGACTGTTTAGAGTAGGACAAAAAATAAAAGAAATTCATTTTCCTTTCCTATTACTTCTCTTGATCATGCATGGGGAATTGCTGGGGAAGAAGTCGAAGACTGTGTGATCACAGTCCAGACAAATGATAGTCAGGACAGGGAGATTCAGGGAGTAAAAACAAAGGTGGAACCTAAAGGCATTTAGAAGAAGTGACCGGACTTGATTATTCTGCCCCTTGTTCCTAGTACTGCAGCTTTCCTGGCCTTCTTACTGTTCCTGGCACTTGGGTATCCGGTTCCCATTCTGGACCTTGCAGATGCTCATGCATACTTTCTGGGTCCTGGGAAGTCCTCTCTCTGTTTCATTTTTGCTTAGTGGGTTCTTGCCTATGAGTCTCGGTTTAAAACCCAACTCCTGTAATGCATCCACTCCACATCACATTGCTGGAATTTCCTTCCTAGTATGAAGTTTGTTATATGTAGAGATTGAGAAGTTATTTTCTCAGCCATGATCTGCATATGCTTCAAACTTGGAGCAGGTTATAAAAATCATATTTTTAATATTTTTATGTTGTTAATTGATTTTAGTTTGCTGATTTGATACTTATTTCCTTATTAAAACACTGGTATCTCCAATTCTCGTAAGCCTCATGAGTGCATGAAAGACAGTCCTTTGTTCATGGCTATATCCTAAGTACCACAGGGTCCAGTACAATGTCAGAGATACAGGACGTACTCAATAAATACTTGTTGCATGAATGTTAAGGGAGAGAACTTGGAAAAGAAGGATAAAAATGAATCATGAAGTACTTGAAAAGCTCAGCAGGGTGGAACCTGGGAATGATGGGTGTTATCATTTCTATTGCATTAATCAAACAGATGCTGTATCATACATTTGTGTGTGTGTATGTGTGTGTGTGTGTTTACTTGTGTATGCTTGTCCTATCTATTGAGTGACTTGGAAGTTTTCTCCAAGGATCCAAAATTTTCCTATTAGCTGTTTCCTTCTAATTGATTCGTACTGAATGAGAGTTGCTGTTCCACAGTCCATGGTGAAGTCCTCTTCACTAACTTATTTCAGATAAGAATGTATACTGGAGCTTGGTCTGTGTCCCCAGAGTGTAAATCTATTATCAAGATTTGTGCCATCAAGTCAGAGGAATAATCAGGCCAGCAGAAAAAGCTGGTGAAATGTTTTGAGGAAGTAAATTGCTTGTTTCTGAGATGAGCAGGATACTAACTGTCTATACTCTTGGTTTGTAGACTCCTAAAAGCAAGGCTCAAGAGGCCACCAAAGTGGCAATTGATATAGGTTTCCGTCACATAGATTCAGCATACGTCTATCAAAATGAGGAGGAAATTGGAGAGGCCCTTCGAGAGAAGATTGCAGATGGTACTGTGAAGAGAGAGAATTTGTTCTATACCACCAAGGTGAATGTTCTGTGTGTGGGCTGACTAGAAGACACTGTCAGTTCAGATATGTTATTTTGAAAAAAAAATTCTCAGTTTGAATATTATTTTCACTTCCTAATATTGAGAAGGCACATTGTATGAACAAAGAGAATAGAATAGGCTTGCTTTTCTCTAATACATGTTAAATGTGAGAAGAGCTCAATGTTTCTGAATATTGTTCATTGGTCAGATGCAGAATGGGAAGAATATGGCTTATGTTCTTTACTCTTGTGTGCTTTAACTGAGCCAGTGTGGGTCCACTCTAATTCTTAAGTAGATTCTGAAGCAAGCTTGAGATATTATTTAAAAACTGGAGACAGAGTAAGAAATTATTTTTTCAAACAAGCTCTGAATCTACTGAAATTGTAACATTTTCTTTGGTAAAAAACCATGCTTTCTATGTAAACATTACTGAGCTCTCTACAGATGAATCCTGGCTATATTTACATTGTTAATACCTTAATTACAGAATATTGATCTCTCAGTGTAGTTGTGTTTTTAGGAATTTGTTATCTAGGAGTGTAGACTCCATTCCCCACATGGCCTGCTATTTCTTGACTCCATTCATAGAATGAATTTTCTAATCCTTGAAACATTTAAGTTGTTTTTTTATCCCATATAAGTTTTATTCACAGTTTTCTTACAGTATAGTCACCAAAAAAATCTCAGAATCCCATTAATTTATGATTTATATTGGTAACACATTTAGTCAATGTTCTTAGTTTTAGGTCACCACAGGGTTTGTTGCTCATTTCTCAAACATTTAACTGTGATGTTTCATTTCCTCCCTGCCAGGAATGAAATTATAAGTCACTTTTTATTTCTTTTGGTCACTACAGCTTTGGGCTACTTTCCATCAACCAGGTTTGGTTCAACCAGCCCTGGAGAAATCATTGAAGAAACTTCAACTGGACTATGTAGATCTCTTCATTGTTCATATGCCAGTTTCTCTAAAGGTCAGCTTTTGATGTTTCTTGGTATGCTGTTAAAATGTTATTTCACCTCCACTATCTCAACTGAGATTTTCTGGGTTCTTGCAAGGAGAAGTAACTTTGAATGAGGTAGGTAGAATTGACAAATGATCACAATAATGTTTTGTAAGTGAGTCAGGTAAGACTTGTAAACTCTTCATTCTCCAGGCTTCAGAGGGATTGAAGTTCAAGAATCTCACAGCTCTACCTTCAAGACTTGAGGGTACTCCACCATGTTTAACTGATGTGCTCCTGTCTATAGGCCATTAGTGACTAGAGTCCTCCAGAACATTGAGTTGCTACAGACTGAAGAGATAAAACAGGAAACCCTCACCTCTGTAAGGCAGGTTTTCTCCCATGTGTACCTCTCAGCCCAAGTCAAGAGAGAGTTTGCCTCAAGTAGCCCAAATTGCAAAACTGGGTTCCTTTGCCCTTTTCTGATCCAAGCTCTCTTTCAAGTTTGTGTTTACTGAACAAACCCGATAGACTCATGACGTCGGAGTTGGGTAATTGTAAGCTGGAGCTAAAACACATTGATTAGTAGATATGTTACTACCTTACAAACTAGCCTGTCCTTGAGGCCTGAAATACACTCTGCAGTGGACCTCATGCTTAGTGAAGTCCAGGGATTGATGGGGACACAAAAGTGGAAGCAGTGGAGGGGCAAGATGTTTTTACAACACCTTAGGTAATTCTGATTTTCAATAACCACAGCCTCCTGAAGGCGGGTGACCAAGCTCCATAGACATTGGAACGTGATTCTTAAAGAGAACCTTCTTAATTCTCTCTTCTCTATGTATCCAGGCTGGGGAAGAACTGTTGCCCAAGGATGCCAATGGGAAAATTATTTTAGATAGAGTGGACCTTCGTGATACATGGGAGGTATGTTCTGCTACAGATGGTGCGGTGTTACTCTGTGTGCCAAGGAAGAAAGCACTAGATGGGGATGCAGAAGAGAGAGAAGTTTTTGCTCCAGCATGTGTCTGAATTAGACATGTCATAAACTTCTCCATATTCTTCATAAAGTGAAGGAGTTGAATAAAATGACCTTAGTCTATTTTTAATCTCAACTTTTACAGTTCTATGTAGGAAAAACTTTGCCCCAAAGATTTGGTCAAGTATGTAAACCATATAAAGGGGATCATTAAATATAAACTGAAGAAATAATTAGCTCAGTATCTCAGGACAGGTAAACATCTATAGAGGGAGAGACATGCTGTGATCTGAGTTAGCACCAACTTGGACTATAAAGGAGAGAAGTCTACCCTTATATAGCCTATCTCATATATATTTTTCCATTGTTCTAGGAAAAGAGGTACCAATAACCCACAGCAGAAAATCTGAGAATTCTTCTTTGGTCTTTACTATGGTAGCATTTCTTTAATAATGATTGCATGCCTAACACCAAAACAGGCACCACTGAAGGGGGTTTGGAAGTTAAGGGGGAACTTTAAAACAAGTTAATGCCTATTTGTTGTTCTGAATGAGCATGTGTTAGAATAAAGTAGAAAATGAGTATGCACAGCATCAAAGTACATTAGGAAATACTGTTTCAAGTAGTAAAACAGATTAAGTCAAATGGTTCAAGAAGATTTCCAGCTTTTATAATGTCCAATGACAAATGAAAAGGATGAGTTATACTAATAGTTTACTAATGTATAATATAAGCCTAATTGGAATTGTCCTTATGAATCTCCCCAGGTATAAGAAATATATTCTAATAAAGAAATTTTCTTGGTTGAACATAAAGTTTACCACACATTTCCTTACTTCATAGGCTCTGGAGAAGTGTAAAGATGCAGGTTTAACCAAATCCATAGGGGTGTCCAATTTCAACCACAAACAACTGGAATCAATCCTGAACAAGCCAGGGCTCAAGTACAAGCCTACCTGCAATCAGGTGAGCTTTTAGCCCATCTGGGATTTATTTTACCTTCTGCTTTTTATATTCTTCTTCCTTAACTAACATTTATCAAGTTTCTGGCTTTATATCAGCCATATGGATGAAAGTTTCTTTTTCTGAAACAAGAAAGAGAAGTATTAGAATAGATTGGAGTGGATTGGGGAAAGCATGATTTTTTTGATCATTCACAGGTAAACTTGAGGTTCCTGTGAGCCATCCAGGATGGAGATGCTGCTTGAAAGGTGGCATCATTAGCCTGAGCTCAGGTAGTTGTCAGCACTGGAGATCCTGATGTGTTGGAGTTGTTGATTCATAGATGGTCATTAAACTCACTGGGTAGGTGAACTTTCTCAGGAAAAGTAAGAATAAAAAAAGCAGAGGGCAGGACAGGGTAAGATAAAGAAGCTCTGGCAGAGAGAAGGAATGGGACTTTTAGATAGGCAAGGAGAAAATGAAGAGAGTGTGGTATGAGCAAAGCTAAAGAAAGGGCTGAAAAGAGATAAATCACAAAAGAGGAGCTGGCCACTCTACCAAGGTTGGAAAATTGTTGAATTTGATAGCAGAGTTTAGAGTAAACCTAGCACAGGCAGTTACAGAATGGTGGGAACAAATGAAAAATCAGAGGAGAGGAGGGAATAATGATCAAATATTTAAGTCATAATTAAGATAGATATGTGAATAATATACCCAGTAGGCTAGGGGTGTGTATAGCTCAGAGATAGAGTGCTTACCTACCATGCATGAGGCTAGAGTTGAATCCCTAGCGACACACACACACACACACTCTATAGGACAACAATGAAAGACCCACTCAGTGTTGTCATTATCAAGCATTATTTATAACATTATAAAATATATATAGCCTTTGAAAAACACTAGTAATTATATAAAAAGCCATCAATCTGCGATTCTATTTGTAGAAAATCAAAATCAAAGTATGCTTAAAAAAGCAGTACATACACATTTTTGCACATTTAATTTAGTTTCTTTTTTTTTTTTTGGTGGAACTGGGGTTTGATCCCAGGTCCTAAAGTGCTAGCAAGTATTCTGCCACTTGAGCTATGCCTCTGGACCTTTTATTTTCTTTGTATTTTTGAGAGATAGGGTCTTGTTAATTTCATCTGTGTTGACCTAAAACTCAAGGTTCTTTTGCTTCTACCTCCAGATTAACAGAGATTACAGGAGTGGGCATGATACTCACCAGTCTTTTCTTTTTTAATGAATCTTTTGATCAGTTTTATTTATTACATTAAATAATTGGAATTTTATGTATCTTGCAATGGGAAAATAATTAAATTTATGGTGATATCATGGAGCTGTATGTTGGTATATACTGTGAAAACTCATGGTAGAAAGGAAAAGCATTTATTATATTTATTTCATAAAATCACATCAAAGAACTATTTGCTTCTGTGTCATTTACAATGATTTCAGTTGAAACAAACAGAAAACCCAATTCAAACCATCTTAATGTTTTGATGTATTTACAGAAGGTTTGGGGTTTTATTTTTCTAGAGGCTGTAAGATGTTAATATATTTTGCCTATCCTATGTCCTTCATAGTTACAGAATCGCATCCCCCATACTATTGGGCTATAATTGGGCACCTTGTTCATAGTCAGTGTGAAGTGACCTGTTTCTGGTGCTGTTTCTAAATGCAGAAGAATTTTCAAGGAAGTTTACTAGAATATTTTTTTCTCACATGTCATTGGTTGGTCAATATAATGTGTTTTTTCTTAAACCAATCAGTGTAACAGAAAGGAAGACCATTACATCAAATTCTACTGAGTTAGCATCTTCTGATGCACAGAGGCTGGAAGTAGGGGAGAGGAGAACTCCCCTGCAAGTACAGGGCACTTCTTAGAGGAATAATACTAATCAATAATATTCACTACAAAGGCTGGTGTGGTGGTTCATACCTGTAATCTCAGCTACTTGGGAGGCAGAGATTATGAGGACTGTGGTTCAAGATAGACACAGGCAAAAAGTTGAGTGAGACCCTGCCTCAATCAACAAGCTGGGCATAACAGTGCTTCTGTCATCCCAGCTAACTCAAGAAGTGTAAATAGGACCATAATTGCCCAGGCAGCCCATGCAAAAGTGTTAGACCCTATTCTAAAGATAACTAAAACAAAAGAGATTGGGGTGTGGCTCAAGTGATAGAGCTGCCTTGCATGACCCGAGTCCAAATCCCAATACTGACAAAGAAAAAATAATAAATTTCACTATAAATTCTTCTTTTGAAATGATATAAAATCCTAAAAATGAAAAAAAAAGACTAAAAGGAAGCACAACAATTGTAGTTTTAGTCTGCTCGTATTCTTGGCAGCTTGATGGTGATTTTTCCATGCTGAATGCAAATATTACTGTTATATTTTTCTTCATTATTTTTCTTTAGAGGGGGTTCTTGGCATGTATCCTAGGCTGGCCTTGAACTTGTGATCCTCTCACCTCATCTTCTATAATGCTGGGGGTTACAGGTGTGCAACAGTTCCTTTTCCAAATTTTAAAACTGTTTTACTATCAAAACAAGGTACAAGGAATATTATAATGACTTCCTTCACATGTATCCATCACCACACTTAAGCAATAATTTAGCTCATTTCCTAACTTTGTGAATATATATTTTCCTACTGCTTGATTATTTTGAAGCTGACATCATCTCATTTCATCTGTAATCACTGCAGCATATACCTTTGATAACTATGGACTTTAAATTACCATTACTAGAATACCATTATACTACCCACATTTTCAAGAATGATTTCTGAATGTCATTAAAAATCATGGGCATTAAAATATGAATGTACCTTATTTTTATGGTTAATTCACTCAAAATGGGGAGGAAAGAAATTTCATTCATTGCAATTGGGTAATATATCTATCAATTCTCAAATCTCTCTTTTATCAAGTAGGTTCTCTGTCTTCCTCTCCTTTCTTCCTCCTCTCCCCTCTTCCTTTCTCTTGATTCCTCTTCTTCCCTCCTACCTCTTCTTTAGGTCTAATGCTCACTCTTCCTTGTTCTCTCCTTCAATTTACTTATGTAAGAAATTAATCTTTGGTCTCTAAAATTTCCCACACAATAGATTTTACCTGTGATAGCATCACAGATTACTTTGTACTTCCGGTAAATTGAAGATTCAAGGTAAGGACTTGGTCACATGAGATCAATGTCATGTGAATTCATGGTTTTAACAAATATGATACTTTCCTCTCCATTTTAATTACTGGTCTTTTTGGTACTCACCTCACCTCTTCATGTGAGCTTCTGGGTTCTTTGGCATGCTTTTTTACCCTCTTTGCTAGGTTCAACTTGTAGCCTTCTCACATAGAACTGGAATTACTCATTTCTCTAATGAATCTTGGTTTCTTTCAGAAGAAAATGGCATTTGGAGACAGCAAACTGAAACCAAGAGATTTTAATCTCATCAAAATATTAGTGAAATAATAATAAGAAAATTGTTTCATCAGTCTAACAACTGATAGGATATGAAATTATTTCAAAAGGTTAATGGGAAAATGGTCAATCTGAAAAATATAGTGTATAGGTCAGTGCACTATAGACATGCCTTCAAAACACTTTTTAAATTTATGTGTGGTTACAACTCATGTATTTGGGTATCCTTTTTTTTGGAAAATTACAGGTGGAATGTCACCCTTATCTCAACCAGAAAAAACTCCTGGAATTCTGCAAGTCCAAGGACATTGTTCTGGTTGCCTACAGTGCCCTAGGATCCCACAGAGACCCAAAGTGGTAATGAGAATATCAAAATATGCTATATCAGCAACTGTACTTATTATGAAACATTCTTTTGTGTTCATTTTCTTTTTTTGTTAATTTAGTTTTTTTATTATATTATTATTGTACTGGGGGTACACTGTAACCTCTACAAAAGTTCTTACATATAATCTTAGTTAAAATCACCCATCCATCATTTTCTTTTATCTTCTTTCTGAGCCCCATTCTTAGTATAGTTTCAGCAGGTCTCAATTTTTTTTTCATTTTCATGCATGAGTTCGTAAAATTTATGACACATTCATCCTCTTATAACCTTTCCTCATCCTCCCCTCTCCCACAGGTACCGACTCCCAAACAGGACCTGTTTTACCTCCCTGCCCTTTTTGAAAAAAGACATTTTTTGTTTATGATATCTATGTAGGGTTTCTGTATATCTATTGTATCTATTTCTAGATATCTATTGTATCCTAAAATGATTCATCCCCTCCATTTTTCTCCTTTTTACCTTAGACCTCTTCTAAAGGTGATTTCAACAGTCTTTAAAATTCTATATTCATTCTCATATAGAAAGTACATCAACCACATTCACCTTCTTTACTTCCTTCTTTTACTCTCCTCCTCTTAGTGTCCTCTCCCTTAGCGTGACCTACTTTTCATACTTGTCTCTCTGTCACTACATATATATATATACATATATATATATATTATATAATCATACATGTTTCAGTATATGCATTTAACTTATAGGTCTAGCTTCCACATATGAGAGAAAACATGTGATCTTTGATTTTCTGAAGTTGGGTTACTTTGCTTAACAGGAAGTTTTCCAGTTCTATTTGCCTGCAAGCAACATAATTTCATTTTTCTTTATGGCTGAATAAAACTCCATTGTGTATATAAACCACATTTCTTAATCCATTCATCAGTTGTGGGGCATCTGGGCTGCTTCCAAAGCTTGGCTATTGTGAATAGTGTAGCCATACAATTTTGACATATAGCTAGACTAGCACCCACATTCCTATCATGTTATTGAACCTTTCTCATTGTTAAACTATTTATCAACACTGTACACATAGCAGACAAAGAATATGCAATATTAAATTTAGAAAGGAGTTACTATGAGCTGTTTTTTAAATTAGATCAAGGATATATTATACAGAAACCAAGCTAAGAGTATTCCCATCATTCCAAGTGGTGATTTTTATATTCAGGGTACTTAACATGTTAGAAATTTCTAAAGGGTAAATAGAGCTGAAATCACTCAGACATGACTACTTTCATCAGCTTAATAAATCAGAAAAAACAACCCCATAGTCTCATGAGGAAAACAAAAATACTCTTATGTTTACCAGTGAATGTTCTGAGTGTACTTTTTAGATGCAGGGAAAGAAGATGAGTCCATGTGTAAGAAAAAAAGACATTCTTTGATAATTCCCAAAGACATTTTCTCTTCTTCCTGTGCTTGTTTTCCTAAAGTAAAATGATGTTTAATGTGGTGTGGTAAGTTGATTTTTGAACAAACCAAAAATGAATAATGATAATGATAATGATAATGATAATAACAATGTAGTAAAGAAACATTCTGTCTCCATCAAAAGTCCTCCTTGCCTTCTGAGACAATTCCTCTTCAGTTTTAGGCGCTATTTCTGCTTTTTTTAAACCTTAGGTAAGTTTTGCCTGCTGTAGTATTTCATGTAAAAGAAATTGTGTGTATTGTTTTGTGTCTAGCTTCTATTGCTCAACATGTCTGCGCCATTCATCCCATGGTTGCAAGAATCTCTAGTTGATTCCATTTTATAGTAATCCTGCTTCATCTGTGTTTTTGCTTTCCAGGGTTTCAGTTATCAGCTGCAGTCTGAAATTATCAAAGGCAAAATTCCAGAAACAAAAACAGTTCTTAATTTTAAATTGCATGTCATTCTGAGTACTGTGATGTAATCAACCATCCTGCTCATTCCCACCCAGGATGCAAAGGATCCATGCCAAATGCATTAACTGCTTATTACTTATTTAGTAGATGTTTGAGTTATCAGATCCACTGTCACATTGTTGCAGGGTTTGTGTTCAAGTTACCCTTTTTTACTCAATGATGGTTCAAAAGCACACAATAGTGGTGCCAGTGGTTTGGATAGGCCAAAGGATCATAAAGTGCTTCCTTCAAAAGAAAATGTGAAGGTTCTCAGCTTACTGGAAGATATAAACACTTGTGCTGAAGTTGCTAAGATCTATAGTAAGAATGAATTTTCCATGATTATGAAAAAGGAACAAGAAATTCACTTTAGTTTTATTGTACTTTGTACTAAAATACAACAGTGTGTAACAAGTTGCTTATTTAAGTTGGAAAAGTCATTAAATTTGTACATGCATGTATAGAAAAATACAATGTACTCAGTACTTTTCAAGTTTCAGGCATCCACTGAAGGTGGATAAAGGGGAACTGATCTATCACTGCATATTCCATTGTGTGGACATTTACACCACAAATTATTTATCCTTTCACCTGTTGATGGATAGATTTTTTCCAATTTATGCTGCAATAATTAATGAATTTCTATGAATATTCATGAAACTCTTTTTATAATCATACCATATTGTACCTGCTTCTCTCAATGGTCTGGGAATTATTTTTTCACCCTGTATCCTTCATCTCTCTCTCTCTCTCTCTCTCTCCATCTCACTCTTTGTCTCCCTTCCCCCATCACATGTATAAATTTAGTTTTTTTTTTTTAGGGTTGGACCAGATAGCCCACATCTCTTGGAGGATCCAATCTTGAATGCAGTTGCCAAGAAACACAAGCGAACTCCAGCCCAAGTTGCCCTGCGCTACCAGCTGCAGCGGGGGGTGGTGGTCCTGGCCAAGAGCTTCAATGAGAAAAGAATCAAAGAGAACTTTGAGGTAAAGGTCCAAGAGTATCTTTTCAGATGGCATGGGGGCTGTATTTGGGTACTCTGTCTTGCATGGGTGCCTTGCACCATGTCTCATCAGTTTCCATGCATTTCTGTGTGCACAGATAGCAGCTTGAAAGGGTGGGTAAAGAAAGCATTGGTCCAAGAAGTCTTGGTTTTTCAGGCTTGTATATATTATGCTTTAAACAAATTAATCCCCCTGTTAAATTACTCTTTCTTGATCACCATGTTTTCCTAATATGCAACAGCTTACAATATTGTATTGTATTCATATATGAATGAGGCTGTTTCCATATTGTTCATTCTCTAACACTTTTCCCTCTCCTGTCCTCTTAGACTCAATACTACAATTTTGTTCTCTCTTTCACTATATGTATGTATCTATGTATGATCATTTATGTATCTATATATACATTTAACTTATAAGTGTAGTGTCAACATATGAGGGAAACATGAGACCTTTGACTTTTCGAGCCTGGCCTACTTCACTAAGCATGATGGTCACCAGTTCTATCTATTTATCTGAAAACAAAATAATTTCATTCTTCTTTATGGCTGAATAAAATTCCATTGTGTATTTATACCATATTTTCTTAAAACTTTTATCAGTCATGGGACATTTGGGCTACTTCCAAAACTTGGCTATTGTAAATAGTGTTAGAATAAACATGGATGTGCCAGTGATTAGATCATATCCTGGAGCACATTCCTTTGATAAATGTCTAGGAATGGTATTGCTAGATTGTATGGTAGTTCCGTTTTTAGTTTTTTGAGTGGCATTCCTGTTATTTTCCATGGTGGTTGCACTAATTTACAGTTCAGAAAGTGTTTCTTTTCTCTTTGCCAGCAGAAGACAAATGTTTTGATAGACATTTTGACCGGGGTGAGATGGAATCTCAATGCTATTTAATTTGCACTTCTTTTACAGTTAAAGATGTTGAGCATTTCTTCATATGTTTATTGGCTGTTAGAATTTCTTTTTGGAGAATTGTCTGTCCAGTTCATTTGCCCATTTATTCAGTGTTGATTTTTGAGAGGTTAGTGTTTTGAATTCCCTGTATATTCTGGTGATTAATCTTTTGTCAGCTTTTCTCCAATTCTGTACACTGTCTCTCCAGTCTGATGACTGTTTTCTTTGCTGAGCTGTGTTTGTCTATACTTTCTCTTAATTGCTGAACTATTGGAGCTCTGCTCATAAGGTTATTATCTATCCCTATAAAGCCCAGTGTGTTCCCTTTTTTTCTGGATTATTTCACCATTTCAGATCTTACATTGAGATCTTCAATCTACTTTGAATTGATGCTAGTTCAATGTGAGAGACTGGGATCTAATTTCAGTCTTCTGCAAGGGGGAAACCAGTTCTTTTTGACCACCATTATATCATGCCTGTGATTTTTTCATTATTAATTTAAAATTGTTTATTTATGGCCAAGCTCTGTCTCTGGACTTTGAAATCCTAAAATGTGTGATGGCGATGTTCTCTGGGCCATCTTTTGTTACCTTTTTCCTTGGTGAAGCATTTGGGAGGAAGGGAGCTAGATATAATTTTACAGACTGATCAAGTTAATAAAAGAATGTTTGAAGTAATTCCTTAAACCCTTCCTCATATATACGCAAGTCCTTTAGATCAATCAGTAGTCTTAAGCTTATTTTGTTTTGAATATCATAAGAATTTTTAAAAGACTATGTAAGGTCTTATCCTTTTTAATATTAAATCTCAAAATTTTATCATGGGTTCAATATTTATAGAAGATTATATTTAGGACAATTGATTTATAATGAGTTTTCTTTGAAAGCCTGTAATTATTAGTTAAGTTCATAATCAAATAAGCAAATCTAAATCTAATTGCTAAGGATCCAGAAAGAAATTACTTTACTTTTTATTTCAATTAAACATGTTAATATATGTCCCCATGACAAATATATTACTTCTAGAATATAATTTAGGAGGAATTACTGCCAGATAAATGGAGGGAAGGATAGCTAGAATAGATAGATGAAGAACAGATAGATTATAGATAAACAGAAAAATATATAAAATGCATATTTATACACACATATAAGTATTTATATGTATCTTATATAATATATATTTATATTATGTTATAGTATGCGGTATATACATATGAATATGAATGATAGGTAGTTAGGTAAATTGATAGAACCCTGAATTTTCAATGAAATTTCTCCTAATGAAATTATGTTTTACCAAAGATCTCTCTGCTTTTCTATTCAAGGACTTCCCATTAGGGAACATGAATTATCAAGAAAAAGTAAAGCTGGATTTAAGTAATACAAATTTACTAAATTTGGAGAGTGCTTTAAGCATAAGAGACAAGTGTCTCAAAGATGAATCAGAAATTTTTTGATAAGGAAGAGTAAACATAGAGAGAAATGACATGAGGTTTAATGGACCTGAGTTGAGTAAGTGGTTCATGGACGAATAGTTAACCAGGGAATGCTTATTTCTGAAGTCAACAAACAGATGCTTAGAGAATGGCTGTGCTGTGTTCTGAGACTTGCTTTATTTCAAGATTGGATCAAATTTTAGGGATGGTATGGAAGGAAAAGTTAGGCAATTTTGGTGAGGTCAAAGCAGCAACCCTTGTTAACCAAATTGTCCTAGTGTCCCTTTGTTTGTAAATAAATATTCATTTTTTTTGTTTCAAGGAATTATCTTAGAAAGATTTAGTATTAATGAGTTGTATTTTTTTATGTGAACTTGAGCAGAGAAGGAGTGAGTGTCAGAACTTGGGAAAGTTCTCACACCTAGAACATCTGGAAGACAATAATGACAAAAATGTTTTCCTTAAAAACCATCCTTGCTGCTGTACCCCTGCAAAGTCCTCATGTGACCAGGCAGAAGCAGTTTCCCTGAAGGGAACTTTAATATGATTTTTTCCATCTTTTCAGGTATTCAACTTTGAATTGACTCCAGAAGACATGAAAAGCATAGATGGCCTCAATAGAAATTTCCGATATGATGCATTAGAATTGTGAGTGACACTCCTGGACTGCTTCAATGGTTGTTCCTATAGAATTCAAGTTAGTGGTAAATGGATGGAATTGGAGAACATCATTCTGAGTGAGGTTAGCTTGGCCCAAAAGACCAAAAATCGTATGTTCTCCCTCATATGTGGACATTAGATCAAGGGCAAACACAACAATGGGATTGGACTATGAGCACATGATAAAAGCGAGAGCACACAAGGGAGGGGTGAGGATAGGTAAGACACCTAAAAAACTAGCTAGCATTTGTTGCCCTTAATGCAGAGAAACTAAAGCAGATACCTTAAAGCAACTGAGGCCAATAGGAAAAGGGGACCAGGAACTAGAGAAAAGGTTAGATCAAAAAGAATTAACCTAGAAGGTAACACCCACGCACAGGAAATCAATGTGAGTCAACGCCCTGTATAGCTATCCTTATCTCAACCAGCAAAAACCCTTGTTCCTTCCTATTATTGCTTATACTCTCTCTACAACAAAATTAGAAATACGGGCAAAATAGTTTCTGCTGGGTATTGAGGGGGTAGGGGGGAGAGGGACCGGGCAGAGTGGGTGGTAAGGGAGGTGGTGGGGGCAGGGGGGAGAAATGACCCAAGCATTGTATGCACATATGAATAATAAAATTAAAAAAAAAGAATTCAAGTTAGCAGGGGATCAAAGCTAACCTAAGTCAGGAAGACACACCTGAATTTCAGCATAGGTGTAAAACAGGAGGTTCTCTGCAGATGTCAGAGGAGAAAGGTTTCCTCCAGAGCGCACAAGAAAATTGTAGTGAGACACAGGACCAACCTTTCTCAAAACTGCCAAAGTTTGCACCATTTGTGAATCAACATATTTTATGTTCCTTATTACCTAGATTCCTGCCCTCAGGGTTTACTTACCTGTTAGACAGAAGACACAGTGCCTATGGCCCAGGATACATTAAGAAGCCTTGAAAATGTTTTCTATTTAACTCGTGTAAGAATCAGAAAAAAATACTCAATAATATATTATAATAAATAAAGGTGGGTCTAATTTTCTCTATACGAATGCAACGTAAGATGAGTTTTGATAGCTTTTATGGAGTATAGGGACACAAATCAACATGTCTAAGTTGTATGAAAATCAACTTTGATTCTACTTCCTTTTTTAAGTGTCTAGTAGCAATTATCTTAAAAGTGGCAGTCCTTTTCTAAAACATCATCTACTTTTCCAAACTGATATCTTCCTTGGCTTTTTTTCCCTGTCACTATGCCTATTTCCTTCACTATCTGATCTTACCTTAGTGTCTGATGTGTTTCCTTGCATACCTAGCAATATAAGATCTGCTGAAATTTCTCTAGGTCTCAAGTCAAAATGTCCCTTAAGTGTCATCTCTATCAGAAGGTTAGCCTCTGAAATCCCTGAATAACTTAAATTTACTTATAAAAATATTCAGTCATTTCCTGCAGGTTTTCAGCATTGAGGAGAATGAAGACTAATCAAATGGAGAGACACTTGGAAAGGATTTAGAGATAAGGGCAAATAAAATTTTAATGATAATAATAATCATACTGACTTCAAAGAAAGTTTTCAAGGGAATCCTCTGCTTCTCAAATTATATCAGGACTCTAACACTTATTAAATGAGAAAAACGTGAGCAGTAACTTTATTACACCTAAAGACTTTGAGTAAAGTTCTCAGTCTATGATAATGCCTCTTTTCCCTCACCTTTGTGACCGTGTGTGAATAACACAGCTCCTGTCATGTACGACTTCTCAGAACATACTCTTGAATCACATTTCATTTAAAAGGGAAAATTACAAAGGAGCGAGAAAGACCACAAATAGGGAAAACAATAGCAATACTAATTACTGCACAATACATCTTATTATGAATTATAATTCAGGAAAAAGTGTTATCACTTGGTAGACCTGGCCATTACAGATGTCTTGTCTCCTCAATAGGTTCAAATCCCTTAAAAGAGGGACTTTGTATCTTTGAGTGGATTTGGCATGTTTTTGAGTGAAAGAACAACACAGTCTTCATGACCACCATTCTCATGATCTAAGGACAGAAGCTACATTTGAGGATAAACTGACAACCACATTTTAGCTATGGTGTTTTTTTTTTTTTTGAAGGAAGTGTGTTGCTACGTAGCCCAGGTTGGCCTCAAATTAATAATCCTCTTTCTTCAGCCTTTTGAGGTAACCACGCTGGTAACACAATGTATTAGATTGTGTTCTTGCACACATGTGAGTTTTTGTGAACATAGGAATTAATCATGTATGTGCAGTTTGCACATAAAGAGGGAACTTAAGTGTTTGTGTGCTAAGGTAGAACTAGGGACATGGTTGTAAATTCATAGATTTTCACCCATTCTAACTGCATCTTCTGAGAAATGCTCTCTCTCTTTCTCTCTCTGCCTTTGCTAGGATTGGGGTTTGAACTCAGGGCTTTTAAACTTCAAAATGGCACTCTACTGCTTGAGCCACACCACCAGTCCAAAACCCTCTCTTTGGTAGCATGGAAAAAGAGTGAATAAATTAATGCCCCTTCTTTTCTTTCAGTGCTATGGATCACCCTGATTTTCCATATTCTGAAGAATATTGATGATGAGCTGTTAACATCACTTCTGGAGTATCTTCCGAATGAGCGATGTGGAAAAGATTTCTGTTTGGTGGAGGTGGTTAGGAACTACTGTCTCTAGTTTCAGGTTGTTTTTCTTGTATTTTCTAACATTACAAACGAACAAATCCATCACAATAAAAATTTTCTCTGATGATAAAAACAATCCATATGAACTACAGAAAATTTAGGAAATAAAAGAGACTGGTGCATTTTCCTTGATGATTTTTGAAACAAAAGTATGTTTTTTTGAGTGTGTTTCTATTCACAAAATTAAAATTATCTTCAATATATAGATTATATGTTTTTCTTTTACTTAACATAGTATTTTAAAAATAGAATTCAATGATTCCAGTATGCTTTCCCTCATTTCCCCTTTACACCATATTGGTCTTTCTTCTGTATTTTTCTATTTCTTTGTCTTTGTCCAATTAAACATGTGAGCTTGCTTTTTTTTCATTTTTCTTTTATTATTCGTATGTGCATACAAGGCTTGGTTCATTTCTCCCCCCTGCCCCCACCACCTCCCTTACCACCCACTCCCCGCCCTCAATACCCAGCAGAAACTATTTTGCCCTTATTTCTAATTTTGTTGTAGAGAGAGTATAAGCAATAATAGGAAGGAACAAGGGTTTTTGCTGGTTGAGATAAGGATAGCTATACAGGGCGTTGACTCACATTGATTTCCTGTGCGTGGGTGTTACCTTCTAGGTTAATTCTTTTTGATCTAACCTTTTCTCTAGTTCCTGGTTCCCCTTTTCCTATTGGCCTCAGTTGCTTTAAGGTATCTGCTTTAGTTTCTCTGCATTAAGGGCAACAAATGCTAGCTAGTTTTTTAGGTGTCTTACCTATCCTCACCCCTCCCTTGTGTGCTCTCGCTTTTATCATGTGCTCATAGTCCAATCCCTTGTTGTGTTTGCCCTTGATCTAATGTCCACATATGAGGGAGAACATACGATTTTTGGTCTTTTGGGCCAGGCTAACCTCACTCAGAATGATGTTCTCCAATTCCATCCATTTACCAGCGAATGATAACATTTCGTTCTTCTTCATGGCTGCATAAAATTCCATTGTGTATAGATACCACATTTTCTTAATCCATTCGTCAGTGTGGGGCATCTTGGCTGTTTCCATAACTTGGCTATTGTGAATAGTGCCGCAATAAACATGGTGTGCAGGTGCCTCTGGAGTAACAGTCTTTTGGGTATATCCCCAAGAGTGGTATTGCTGGATCAAATGGTAGATCAATGTCCAGCTTTTTAAGTAGCCTCCAAATTTTTTTCCAGAGTGGTTGTACTAGTTACATTCCCACCAACAGTGTAAGAGGGTTCCTTTTTCCCGCATCCTCGCCAACACCTGTTGTTGGTGGTGTTGCTGATGATGGCTATTCTAACAGGGGTGAGGTGGAATCTTAGTGTGGTTTTAATTTGCATTTCCTTTATTGCTAGAGATGGTGAGCATTTTTTCATGTGTTTTTGGCCATTTGAATTTCTTCTTTTGAGAAAGTTCTGTTTAGTTCACTTGCCCATTTCTTTATTGGTTCATTAGTTTTGGGAGAATTTAGTTTTTTAAGTTCCCTATATATTCTGGTTATCAGTCCTTTGTCTGATGTAGTTGGCAAATATTTTCTCCCACTCTGTGGGTGTTCTCTTCAGTTTAGAGACCATTTCTTTTGATGAACAGAAGCTTTTTAGTTTTATGAGGTCCCATTTATCTATGCTATCTCTTAGTTGCTGTGCTGCTGGGGTTTCATTGAGAAAGTTCTTACCTATACCTACTAACTCCAGAGTATTTCCTACTCTTTCTGTATCAACTTAGAGTTTGGGGTCTGATATTAAGATCCTTGATCCATTTTGAGTTAATCTTGGTATAGGGTGATATACATGGATCTAGTTTCAGTTTTTTGCAGACTGCTAACCAGTTTTCCCAGCAGTTTTTGTTGAAGAGGCTGCTATTTCTCCATCGTATATTTTTAGCTCCTTTGTCAAAGACAAGTTGGTTATAGTTGTGTGGCTTCATATCTGGGTCCTCTATTCTGTTCCACTGGTCTTCATGTCTGTTTTTGTGCCAGTACCATGCTGTTTTTATTGTTATTGCTTTGTAATATAGTTTGAAGTCAGGTATTGTGATACCTCCTGCATTGTTCTTTTGACTGAGTATTGCCTTGGCTATTCGTGGCCTCTTGTGTTTCCATATAAATTTAACAGTAGATTTTTCAATCTCTTTAATGAATGTCATTGGAATTTTGATGGGAATTGCATTAAACATGTAGATTACTTTTGGGAGTATCGACATTTTTACTATGTTGATTCTACCAATCCATGAGCATGGGAGATCTCTCCACTTTCTATAGTCTTCCTCAATCTCTTTCTTCAGAAGTGTATAGTTTTCCTTGTAGAGGTCTTTCACATCTTTTGTTAGGTTTACACCTAGGTATTTGATTTTTTTGAGGCTATTGTAAATGGAATTGTTTTCATACATTCTTTTTCAGTTTGCTCATTGTTAGTGTATAGAAATGCTAATGATTTTTCTATGTTGATTTTATATCCTGCTACCTTGCTATAGCTATTGATGATGTCTAGAAGCTTCTGAGTAGAGTTTTTTGGGTCTTTAAGGTATAGGATCATGTCATCTGCAAATAGGGATATTTTGACAGTTTCTTTACCTATTTGTATTCCTTTTATTCCTTCTTCTTGCCTAATTGCTCTGGCTAGGAATTCCAGTACTATGTTGAATAGGAGTGGAGATAGTGGGCATCCTTGTCTGGTTCCTGATTTTAGAGGGAATGGTTTCAGTTTTTCTCCGTTAAGTATAATGCTGGCTGTAGGTTTGTCATATATAGCTTTTATAATGTTGAGGACTTTCCTTCTATTCCTAGTTTTCTTAGAGCTTTTATCATGAAATGGTGTTGGATCTTATCAAAGGCTTTTTCTGCATCTATTGAGATGATCAAGTGGTTTTTGTCTTTGCTTCTGTTAATGTGGTTTATTACGTTTATTGATTTTGGATGTTGAACCACCCCTGCATCCCTGGGATGAAGCCTACTTGGTCGTGGTGAATAATCTTTTTGATGTGTTGTTGAATTCGGTTTGCCATTATTTTGTTGAGGATTTTTGCATCAATGTTCATTAAGGAGATTGGCCTATAGTTCTCCTTTTTGGAGGTGTCTTTGCCTGGTTTTGGGATAAGTGTAATACTGGCTTCATAAAATGTGTTTGGCAGTTTTCCTTCCCTTTCTATTTCATGGAACAGTTTAAGGAGGGTTGGTATCAGTTCTTCTTTAAAGGTCTGATAGAATTCAGCAGAGAATCCATCAGGTCCTGGACTTTTCTTTTTGGGGAGACTCTTGATTGCTGCTTCAATTTCATTTTGTGTTATAGGTCTATTCAGGTGATTAATTTCCTCTTGGTTCAGTTTTGGATGATCATATGTATCTAGAAATCTGTCCATTTCTTTAAGATTTTCAAATTTATTTGAATATAGGTTCTCAAAGTAGTCTCTGATGATTTCCTGGACTTCCATGGTGTTTGTTGTTATCTCCCCTTTTGCATTCCTGATTCTACTAATTTGGGTTTTTTCTCTCCTCATTTTAGTCAGGTTTGCCAGGGGTCTATCGATCTTGTTTATTTTTTCAAAGAACCAACTTTTTGTTTCATTAATTCTTTGTATGGTTTTTTTGGTTTCTATTTCGTTGATTTCAGCTCTTATTTTTATTATTTCTCTCCTTCTATTTGTTTTGGGATTTGCTTGTTCTTGTTTTTCTAGGAGTTTGAGATGTATCATTAGGTCATTGATTTGGGATCTTTCAGTCTTTTTAATATATGCACTCATGGCTATAAACTTTCCTCTCAGACTGCCTTAGCTGTGTCCCATAGTTTCCGGTAGGTTGTGTTTTCATTTTCATTGACTTCCAGGAACTTTTTAATTTCCTCTTTTATTTCATCGATGATCCATTTTTCATTAAGTAATGAGTTATTTAGTTTCCAGCTGTTTGCATGTTTTTTGTCTTTACTTTTGTTGTTGAGTTCTACTTTTACTGCATTGTGATCAGATAGTATGCACGGTATTTTTCTATTTTCTTATATTTGCTGAGGCTTGCTTTGTGCCCTAGGATATGATCTATTTTGGAGAAGGTTCCATGGGCTGCTGAGAAGAATGTATATTGTGTAGAGTTGGATGAAATGTTCTGTAGACATCAACTAGGTCCATTTGATCTATTGCATATTTTAGATCTTGGATTTCTTTATTGATTTTTTGTTTGGATGACCTATCTATTGATGATAATGGGGTGTTAAAGTCTCCCACAACCACTGTGTTGGCGTTTATATGTGCTTTTAGGTCTTTCAGGGTATGTTTGATGAAATTGGGTGCGTTGACATTGGGTGCATACAGATTGATGATTATTATTTCCTTTTGGTCTATTTCCCCTTTTATTAGTATGGAATGTCCTTCTTTATCTCGTTTGATCAATGTAGGTTTGAAGTCTACTTTGTCAGAGATAAGTATTGCTACTCCTGCCTGTTTTCGGGGGCCATTGGCTTGGTAAATCTTCTTCCAGCCTTTCATCCTAAGCATATGCTTATTTCTGTCAGTGAGATGGGTCTCCTGTAAGCAACAAATTGTTGGATCTTCTTTTTAATCCATTTTGTCAAACGGTGTCTTTTGATGGGTGAATTAAGTCCATTAACATTAAGCGTTAGTACTGATAGGTATGTGGTGATTCCTGTCATTTAGTTGTCTTAGTTGTTTGAAGGTTTGATTGTGTGTACCTAAGTTGAGGTTACTCTCTACTGTCTTGCTTTTTCTTTTCCTGTGGTTTGGTGCTGCCTGCCTTTTCATGGTTAAGTTGGGTTTCACTTTCTGTGTGCAGAATCCCTTGCAGAATCTTTTGTAGTGGTGGCTTTGTGGTCACATATTGTTTTAGTTTCTGCTTATCATGGAAGACTTTTATTGCTCCATCTATTTTGAATGATAGTTTTGCTGGG